TCTCATTTATAATGGAAGTGAACAATTTACCCAAACAACTTATTAATGTAATTGGTCTGTAATTTTTAGGATCAAACTTATCACCTTTATTCTTATATATTGGGATTATATTGCCATTAGTCCACTGTGAGGGAATTATTCCAGAATCAAATATTCTATTAAATAGCTCAACATACAAATTCAGTAAACAGTCAGAAGTACTCTTGATATACTCATTTATAATTCTGTCATCACCACTAGATTTATTATTTTTCAATAATTTAATACTTTTAAGAACTTCATCATGTGTGATTGGTTGATTAATATAGTGATTCAACTGCATATCAGATACTAGAAGGAGTTCTTCCTCATTCAAAACATAGTTCTCATTTGATTCATTGAATTGCATATTGCTACAGTCTTTATAAAAATTATAAAGATCGTTTAGGTTAGCCATACATCTTTGCTTGTTTATGTTTGTATTTAAAATTTTCCAATATTCTTTAGGGTTTGAAGTACGTAGGTATCTTAGTTTAATTTTCATTTCTGTTCTATGTTTACTGTTAGCAAGCTTTAGTTTCTGATTATACAACTTTTCTTTTTCATACAAGTTTGTTTTGAAAATAGAGCCACCAAATTATTTATACAGTCTCTTTGCTTTTTTATAGTTTTGCCTGGCACATTTACAATCAGCCGTAAACCAAGGTTTATTAACTTTACAATTTTTGATTTCTTTGTTACAGTTTGTATAAATTTGTTTTGTTCCAAATACTTCTTTAGCACTTTCTACAAAGATTTCACCAACCTTATCTACAATATTATCAATAAACTCCAAATTAGTATCTCCAACTGCACAGTTTTTAGCTCACCTGAGCCGAAGGCTCAAGTGAGCTTTTCTGATCAAAATTTGTCCGTCGTCTGTCGTTGTTGTCGTTGTCGTTGTCGTCGTCGTCGTAAACTTTTCACATTTTCATCTTCTTCTCAAGAATCACTGGGCCAATTTCAACTAAACTTGGCACAAAGTATCCTTGGTTGAAGGAGATTCAAATTGTTCAAATGAAGGGCCACGCACTTTTCCAAGGGGAGATAATCATGAATTTGTTAAAAAATTAATGGCATTCTTAGAAAATCTTGTTCTCCAGAACCGCTGGGCCAGGAAAGATGAAACTCATGTGGCAGCATCCTCAGGTAGTGCAGATTCAAATTTGTTCAAATCATGACCCCCGGGGCAAGGGTGGGGCCAAAATGGCCGACCCAAGTTTTACATAGGAATATATAGGAAAAATCTTTAAAAATCTTCTTCTCCAGAACCACTGGGCCAGGAGAGATGAAACTCATGTGGAATCATCCTCAGGTAGTGTAGATTCAAATTTGTTCAAATCATGACCCCTGGGGCAAGGGTGGGGCCAAAATGGCCGACCCAAGTTTTACATAGGAATGTATAGGAAAAATCTTTAAAAATCTTCTTTTCCAGAACCACTGGGCCAGGAAAGATGAAACTCATGTGGAATCATCCTCAGGTAGTGTGGATTCAAGTTTGTTCAAATCATGACCCCCGGCCCTGGGGATAGGGTGGGGCCAAAATGGCCGACCCAAGTTTTACATAGGGATATATAGGAAACCTTTTAAAATCTTCTTTTCAAGTACTTCAAATCTATGATTAGTGATATTTATATGGAATCATAGGTAGTGTAGATTCTAGTTTGTTCAAATGATGAACGCCTGGAAGGGGGGGGGTAGTAAATTCAAGCCCGATGTGCTCAGGTGAGCGCTGTGGCCCATGGGCCTCTTGTTAATATCATTTTCAAGGACTTTACCTTTTTTTCAACATATTTTTGGTAGTTCAACTTTTTATCAGTATCCCAGTTTTTAGCAACTACATAACAAGGGCCAGGAGGTTGATCATCAGTTCTACACCTTATAAAATGCTCATTTCTAAACATTAATGAAACTCCAATAGGATTATGCACATCTGAAAAAAGTGTGCAGAATGGTAGTATCTTGAAATCTGACACATATTTTATAAAATCAATATTGGCTATACAATAATCCACAACACTTGTTTGTTTACAAGTTAATTCCCCATCACTATCACCTGTTGATCTACCATTAAGTATGAAAATATTACACTGTTTACAAACATCTAGGAGTCTTCTTCCATATTGATTAATAACTATATCTTTAGATTTTCTCTCGATAGCAAAATTATATTTTTCCAATTGGTTTACATCAACATACTCTTCAGGTAAAATATTTTCACCAATTTTCATCTATTATCAAATCATCTATTTTTTTAATTGCAATTTTAATCCAAAGTACATTCTCACATTCATTATTAATAACAGTAGCATATTTAGCTAGAGTATCTCGAATATATACTATAATGCCACCAGATTTTCGTATTGCTAATTTTGACCTATGCTTACTAAACACTGTAAAATTAGGAATATCGATATTGTCCGCTTCATCAGTTTTTGCATCTGTTAAACAAGCAATGTCATACTGGTTGATAAATTCAATAAATTCTACAATATGAAGTTTAGATAAGAGCCCACAAACATTCAAACTAACAATTTTTAATTCTGAAATACTTCGTATTGCTGGAGAGGTGAGAGAGTCGTTGTCAGTATTTACAATGTTTACACATCCGGTGTTTTGCTCTCTATGGTATTCCTAGGCTTCCGTGTTCGCAACGCGTAATTCTGGGTTGCTGGCGGAGGGCGGCGTGACGTTCAGACATAGAGTTGATCTGTATTTAGAAGAAGGTGCATATTCCATGGGAATGGCAGGTGCATAATGGCTACGGTTTGGTACCGGTCTGTCATCGGGCAGTGGGTCTGATGGATAGACTCTAACGTTGTCGACAAAAAGCTTATCCGCGACCATCACCGCTTTTCTCTTTAGTCGTTTTGCTTGTTTATAGTGTGGATAGAGTACTTTCCTTCGGTCGTTTATGGCCTTTTGATATTGTTCGTTGACCCCAAATGGTTTTCCGACTAACGTGGTGGGGGCCTCTCTTCTTACTCTCTCGCGTTCTTTAAATAGCACAATTTTTTGCTATAATTGGGCGGTGTTTATTTAGAATTTTCCTCCTAAGTCTGTGTACTCTGTGGAACTGGATTTCCTCATCGATTCCCATTTCATTGTGAATAAATTCTTTCAAAACTGCCTCAGTATCTTCTTCTTGAGCTTCTGGGATTCCGTCAAAGATAAGGTTTTCCCGCATTGTGTGCATCTGAAGTTCTAGGTGTCGCTCATCGAGGTCAAATAAATTGTTTTTCACTGTCTGGAGCTCAGACATTACAGTCTTGTTCTCTTTAACTATGACCTCTGATCTTTTCCTGATCTGAACCACAGATTCTTTTATTTTGTTAATATTGCTGCGTTGATCTTCATATTGTTTGTTTCTGAAATGCAGGCCTTCGTCCATGTCCCCCATTTTAGCTTTCAATTTCCTTAGCTCATCATTTGTGGTTATTACACTTTTTTCTAATTCCCCTAATCTTTTGTCAATTAGGTCGAGTTTGTTTAGTTTGCTTGACACGTTTTCCAATTTTTCTGTCATAGCTTTCAGAGCGTCACGTATATCGAATTGTTGTTGATTCGGTTGACTGGCTATTGGTGAGACAAAACCAGCGAACTGTCCTTGAGGACCTAGGGGCCCATACAGGTTGAACTGATTGATTTGACCGTTTCCTTGATAATTTGAACTTGCATTAGGTGTCGAGTGTTGCATAAGGACGGGATTGCACATACTTGCATTGATTTGAGCATTTTGAGCATTTTGAGGATCCATACTTTGGATTCTTGGTATTGAGGCTTGATTAGTACTCACACGAATTTTCTGTTCACTCTCACCACTGATGTTTACATTCTTATTCTTTCTTTTCTTCGTCTTCTTCATCGCGGTTCCAGGCTTCATTCCGAACATCATCTTCCCAATGGATATAAGACACAAAATCCCAATATTTCACTGACTTAAAACGATTGAATAACAAAAAAAAATTCGGAGCCTTTCTTAAGACTACCACTTTATCTCACGCATGCGCCGAAAACCCGACATTAGGGTTAATCTGTGAAATCAGGTATAGGCGGCGTAATCACCTAATAAAACTTAATTAACTGACGCCCAAATTCTTACCTGGCTAATGATACTTTTAGAAAACATTTGTATCTAGATGAAAGTTAACTCGGCAACATGCGCCATTCGATTGTTTAATTAAGTTTCATTAGGTGATTACACCGCCTATAACAATATGATCGTTTTCATTTACATGCCTATGTCACCTGAGCGAAATCACACATCCCTGACAAAAAAGATTCACTGTTTAATTCCTTATTCATGAAGTATCCATTAAAATGATATATGCTTCGAATGCAAAGTTTCCCAGTTTCGCCTTTTCTCAGAACGTTTCCATTTTCATCGACGACCTTAACTACTGTTCCTGGTAAAGGTTTTCCTACGTCATCAGAAATCGGAGGTAGAACGGATATCATCGAACATTCAGTTGACCCGTATCCCAAAATAAGTAACTTGGTAAATACACCAATTACCAGAGTGTGGTGACTGTCAATCGGTTGTCCTGTTGTGATGATCACCTGAAGTTTGAACAAATCTTTGTAATTCTCTATCTGGGCAACCAGATCCATGAGGTAATAAGGCATCAGAAGCGCCGAGGTACATTTCTCTTCCTTCATTATTTCCCATATCTTCATGGTACTGCTTCCCTCAATGGCTATCGAAGAGTCACAAAACACTCTAGTTTCTCCCTTACACACAGCTAATATAGGAGATCCTGCTCCCCACGCAAAAGGTCGATCATTGTACATTTTCCCTGCCAGGATAATATCCTTGGGTCTCTCTGGACCTAGGTCAACGTTGTTAACATCAAAATGTGTGTGGGATACCATTTTTGGTTTTCCATGCTTCCAGATGTCGTAAATATCATAATTTCATCTTCAGGGAAAAGTCTTGGGAAATCAACATTCGCTTCTTTCATCTGTAGAACCCCAGGGAGGTCTTAGTAAGAAGGCAAATGCTCGCTCTTTCTGAGGAATACTAGAGTTGGATCGCTTGAGTCTATATCTTTGTAATCTCGTGAAGGTCGGCGGCGACGAAATAGTGCAATCAGTTGAAAAATTATATCCAAGTATTTTTCACCTTTTCCAGGATCAATAAGGAAAGCTTTGCATTCTGCAGTTGAAAATATTTCCCATAAATCTCTGACGTCAGTAATGCTAAGTGTCACATGGACAACAACACCGCCCGCCATTATGATTGCTAATTCAGCAACTACCCATTCAAGTGTGTTTGGGCCAAAGAGGGCAATTTTGTCGCCCTTTTTGATTCCTTTGCTTACAAGGTAACGGGCAAACGTCGTTGTTTCTGTTTGTAGTTGGTGGTAAGTCAAACTTTCCCTATTCCCATCTATTCCCCAGTATATCAGGATTTCTTTGTCCGGATATGACGTACATGTCTCATTGAAAGCGTCAACGACAGTTTTATAGACATATGGAGTGGTCCTTGGTGTAGAAAGGTAGCTGAACTCCGACATGGCGACACTTTGCTTCTGAAACAGAAACTTAATGCCATAGAAATTTGAAAGGTACATGAATAATATTCATACAGATTGAAAAGACACTAGCGTTTTACGAAAGGGTAGTTTTATAGGGATAAAAAACATTTATGAATCTAGAATGCACATTGTTTAAAAGGCATTTTGTTTTTCAGTGGTCTGCAGACGATTCTTATTTGCGGTTAGTAGAAATAAATTGATCCTTTGGTGATATACGAGGGGTTATCAAAAAGTTCGTGGACTAGCGCCATAAAATCAAAACCGATTTAGGTACATCAATGAATTTTAAAATATCGAGTTAGCATAATCATTTCTATCTAAAGAATAAATAACAATTCATAAATTTTATATTTTAATAAATTAGTAATGTTTTGTAAGTAATGGTACTAACAGGCGGCGCAACCTCGAACACGACGTTTTTGCGACTTAAGTGTAACTGAGAAAAAATTCTTTTGATATGAACATTTGACTTCCAAAAAACCCCTTGATTCAGGTATGTGTTGGGACACAATTGTTCCAACTTTATTCTTCTATGACATTTTATCGTAAATTTTACATGGTGTGTCCAAACAAATAAGGCCTTGAAAATGACGTCAAAAAAGGGGGAGGGGTTTCCTTTTCCAACATTTTGTAAAGTTTTGCCCCTAAAAACTTGTTTAGATCTAGCAAATGTTTAAACTGGCTGCAGAGAAATAATATGCATCTAGAGTACTTGTCTTTTAATGCCAATATAGATTCAGAGAGAAAAGGGATGCACCATAATTTAAAATTGTAGTCAAGGTGTAAAAAATCAGTAACGTCAAAAAATGACGTTGATCATGAGTTGTAGATGTTGAATTCCAAAAAAAAAAAACAAAATATGCTGGCACTATCAAGCAATGATCTCTCTCCCAATGTATAAATCCATTTGCAAAATTATATGCGTTAAAAGCCACTGTTCATGACATTGTAAAGTCATAGAAACAAGGCCGGTTGAACTCTTTACTCAGCTCCAAGGATCTTGTCAAAATAAGTGTATGAGGTAGAAGAACCGGAAATTGACAAACAATGACGATGTTGGACGTCATGAAATTAAACGGTGACGGCGCCAGGTGATCATATAATGTCGTTTTTATTTTATAATAATGTTGCAAAAAATGAACGTATCAAGCTAAAAATCTAAACATTTCTTTATTTTTTGTTGTTCTATGTTCCTTATAAATTTTGAAAGCACAGATCACATAGTACTAATTTTATAGCCTCAGTCCACGAATCTTTTGATAACCCCTCTTATTTTCAGTATTTTTATGACATCTACCTTACGACGCTTAAGTCATACTAGCAAGCAAAAGCTACCATTCATAACATACATACTAAAGATCACACATCATATATCTGATTTTTTACACAAGTACGCCTTTAGATTAAAACTAATAGATAATAAGATATGACTATTAAACAGCATAATTAGCTTGAAAGGAATCTAAATCGTATTCTGTTAACGTCCAAATATAAATTCATTAAATTATCATATTCCGAAAAAGGGCATTCTTTTTAAATATCATTCTTACCTCTCTTTCCTCTCCTACCGAAAATAATCTTTTAGACGGAATATGTACAGTAACAGTGTTATTGTATACCTAAAACTTTTTGACTTTTGTTTGACCTTTTATCTCCTATTCATTGTGTCTATTTTTGCATGAACACAAGCTGTAACCCGGGACATCTTATCATACTATCTGACACCTCTCAATCGGCCATTGAGATCCAGTTTATTTTTATTTTATTTATTTTTCAATTAAGCGCACTCGAGGAGTCTACATGGCCAATACCACAAGAAATACGTATATATCATCTCTAAAAACATTTCAATTAATTTCCAAAAAAAATAAGTAAATGTACCTTTTTAAAAATAGATTTATAATTTAAAACTATTGTTTTAGAAGAAAAGTATTTTTACCCCTCTCATAATTCAAATATGTATTTTAAATTGAAATCAAAAAAACATTTGACAGTTTTCAACAGCGACATATGACATTTAAAATTTATACTGAGATCTTCAAATGTATAAAATGCTACCTTTTCCCTCATTAAATCAAAGTAGCAATTTTTTTCTATTAAAAATTATGAATAACAATATGACCATTTCTAAGAACATTAGAAGGCTAGAATTCTTAGCAAATTCAGTCTTCGTCGTTTTAGCATACATATTAAAATCGTACTATTAATTTCAAATTCATCTAAAAAAAAATCAAACTAATTTTAAATTTGTCTTTAAAAATTCAAACTATTATATGGCAATTCATCAAAAATCATCCTTTTCTGAACAGTAATAGAATTCATGTGGAAAACGATCGAACAGTATTCAAGCTCAAAAGCCCATTAAACATTTTAATAAAGGAGCTGAACAAACACGGATCTCCAAAACATAAGAGGTGGGATCGGGTGCCATGGAGTACACCCCTGCCGTCCAGTCACACCCGGCGAGTGCTCAATGACATGAACAGTCAATAACGGAAAAAATCATCGACAATTCTGTGTATATAATGGCTTTTCAATTAGAATGAAAAACGCCAGTCAGCATTTGACTAAATGATAAATTGAATATGCTGACAAGATCATTGTATCGACCATAGAACTTACGAAATTATGACTTTATACGAGACTGTGCATATCTTTTTTTCAACCACCATTTGTTTACCTCGTTTTAGAAATTGTTCATAAGAAAAGTATGCTTTTGTGTATCGAATCAACTAAGAGATATATAAACCCATATGTAGGTGAGAAAGGTATATTGCTGAATAGATAAGTGAAGTTGACGATTGAAAAGTTACGTTTATCAAAAAGCTTGGTTGTTAGCTTACCACAATGTCTTTTTTCAGTTAAAATATCTAAGTATGAAATAGATTCTGGTGGAATCTGTTGTATTTTTTTTTTATGTCAAGCTCATCGGGATCTATCGTATCTATAAAGAATTGAAATAACTAATGTAAATTGATGATGGGTCGTCGATATATTTACATGTGTAAATGTTTCTTCTGTTTCATATGAATACAAAAATAGGTTTGCTAATAACCGTGTTTGAAATATTTGTTAAAATTTGAAAAATATATTTTAAAAGTTTTAGCGGCAAGTTTGTCCATGTCCCTTTAAAGACCCTATTTACCATATATTCAGTGAATGTATCATTTACTTTTTTTCATATAATGACATTTAAAAATTTTAAATAGAATACTAGACACATAGGCCTATCTGAAGAACAGGACGTGTTGATACCCGGTGATCTTTTCACCCACTACACATCAGTGATTTAAAGGAATTTTGTATATTGATATCTCTGATACAGCTAGTTCCTAAAGTAGGTCTAGCAAAGTACTTTAAAAATCAAACCACGTTCTTTAAAACTGAAGAAGTGATCTGAAAAGAGAAAAGTACAAGTAAACGTATCCTTACCCCATCTATTTTGTTTGCATAAAATATAACAGAAAAGACTCATTAATCTTTTATGACAATCTTTTGTTAATTACTGTCGTAATTTAACGTCCCTCACGAGAATTTTTCACTCATAAGGAGACGCCACCACTTGCAGGTAGAGAGCTGCAAATTTTGTCATATACAAGGGCAATTTAGCAGGGAGGGATCTTTTCCATGGCTGAACCTACTGCAACACGGGACCTCGGTTTAATCCGAAGGATCGGTCTCCACGTCCGACAGTGGGATTCGAACCTGCGACGTAAGGATCAATTTCTTACTTGGCGACTCTAGAGAAGACGCTCTAATCATTGCGCCACACGGTCGACCATATATAAATATGCAGCGCATTTATTTGTAAATATGTTGACTTACAAATTATAAATACAAACACTAGAATATATATGTACACATGTGCATATTCTTTACAAAGAAGAGAATGAACATGTAACATGAGATAAAAAAAAACTCATCTCGTCAAATGAAGGGAAAGCATTCACAATTACTTTCCTTATCATATTACGTTAATACTTAAATGATTTTTTTTTTTGAATGACCGTCTTCAATACTTAGGGTACAGGTTTGCCTGACTGACTGTATAGAGGTATCATCCCCTTGCCCTTTGTATTCAAGATGCACTAGTTATATAGCAGAGTACTGCCATTATTACAAGAATTTTTTTTTATCTTATATTTATTATTTTTATTTATATATATGTATATATATTTTGATCCAGTAAATCATTTTCATGATGATACATCTTGTGGTGATGCACTTCTCAATGTCAAACTTAATCACTAGTCATATTACATTATACACCTATATATAACATAGAATTGTAATTAATGAAATCATATTGTAATAATTTGTTCATGCCGCCCCCGCGGGCCCTTGATTGGTGAATAAACATATATATATATATATATATATATATATATATATATATATATATATATATATATATATATATATATATATATATATATATATATATATATATATATATATATATATATATATATTAGGGATAGGGTACAGGTTAACCGGGTATTGGCTGTGTAGAGTATCGAATACCAAAATCGGTACTCGGTTACTCGGATGTATATTTTGGAATATTTCTAATCTTATTTATTATGCATTAAACAATCTGTTTAAAAACGTAAAATGCTCATTGCACTTGTACATACAGTAATTTTTTTTTACTACGACTCTATATGACCGTTATCGCCTGTGGCAGTGTTTATACATTACAGTAATTATCGTGACCAAGACCTGGGGTACCTGGCTTTTCTCACCTTCGGCTGCCTTCTTCCTTATTTTTTGTTTGGCTTTAATTATTTGTTTTCACTGAACATCGTTTAAGATCCATTATGTTTAGATAAATTAACTAATTTTGTCAATTCTCCGAGAAGCCGTAAATTCTTGACGAGCGGATGATATTACACCAGAGACATATGTATGGTTTTATATGTCTCTGATTACACGTGCGATTGTTGATATGTTTGTGTTTGATTACATGCCAATACAACTGGTTGAAGGCAAAGGCTTTAAAAAAACTGATGTCCATCGTTGCATCAAACTACATGTACAAAATACCGTCCCGTAATACTATATAAATCTCGGATCGAACAAGTGAACTAAAATCGTGTATCTGCACTGTTAGGAGAACTTGATCAAGTTCAAGTTGATACTGTATATATATATATATATATATATATATATATATATATATATATATATATATATATATATATATATATATATATATATATATATATATATAATTGAATTTAAAAATTGGTACCGGTATGTTAAATTTCGTCACACAAGTACTCATCATTATTATTACAACAGAAATACATTTACGGATAAGCCTCCATCAGTGCATCTGGTTTTATTTCTACAAGAGTTTACAATGTTTTACAGTCTTCAATTTACTTGTTCATATTTATTTACACTTTTACCGAGTACCCGGGTACTCGATCGGAAAAACGTCCGAGTAACCGAGTATTGAAAATTGACCGATTTGACATCCCTAATATAAATATATAAAGCACTAAAAATGACCAACAACACGAACAATAAAAATTGTCAAATTTTTCTTCCCTTCCTCAGGACAAAGAAAAAAGTTAAAAAGTATATATATATATATATATATATATATATATATATATATATATATATATATATATATATATATATATATATATATATATATATATATATATATATATATATATATATATATATATATATATATATTCTGTTGTGTATAATTAATAAACAAATCTGGCCTTTGGCCAGTTACCAAAGATTGCTTGCACCTTAAGGATCTTATTTACCATGCATGCAACAAAAAACCCTCATTTGACTTCACAGGTCAGAAGTTCAACCACTTATATAATGATTCACAGCATCCACTTCTATTTTTATCCTACGGGATCGAGTGAATATACGCTATTCCTCAAGGTAATGAATTCTGTAAGATACGTGTTTCCATGCAATATTTTATGTATTAGCTGCAAAACCCTTTGATAGATGTATTTTCACCCTTAAGAATAGAAATTCTAAACAATAAACAAAATATCTAATAGATCACGATTAATTGTACTAAATTAAATGAGATAATATTGTTAAAAGGATATTCTAACCAATTATATCATTTCCTGTCTTGTAAAAAAAATGTAGAAAAAGATACTAGAACTGACTCAAATGAACAGACAGAAGAAGCTATAGGCAAGGTATTCATCATATGTCGATCTGTTCTGCGCATTGGAAATTTTCTACTTAGACCGGGATATGTAGAGGATAACTTTGATATTTGTATCACCCTGTAGCATAGGTATACACACATAACAGAGAATTTAAATAGAGCACATATAACTTGACCAGGTAAGTGTCTAACACTCAACATGCCGACCTACAAACTGATGTACTTTGAGAGTAAAGGGCGTGCCGAGGTGATTAGACTGGCCCTAACTGTAGCAGGACAAGAATTCGAGGACAAGAGGGTTACAAGAGAAGAATGGCTGGAAGTCAAACATAGTAAGTACTAATGACACTGCTTAATGTTGTATTCCTTGCAATGTATTTAAAGGAATCCAGTATTTGTCAAAATACTTGACAGACGCACATACGAGGGTTGTTTGTCAGTTTTGTTGACGGGATTTTTTTGTCACAAAAAAAAAAACGAAATTAAAATTAAACCTTTTTCTGGTGCGTGTTTTTCTCTCATGGTTAAATGCTTAACCTTATGTAATTTTTTGATCCATATTATTGCACAATCAAATTGACTTTGTTACCGGCATTAAAATATTATAGGTAATTATAAAATTCATTAAATTTCAAAGTTTTTAAAGATTATATTCCTACATACTTAATATAGTATCATAATTGTTGTATATTTAACAAACCTAGCTGGAGTATTGCTTATTAAGCGTCAAGCTCTGATCAGTCAGTCAATCAATCAATTAATCAATCAATCAATGAAATATATTGATATAACAAACAGCATCAAAGAAGCATAAACGTATGAAATGGTTTATTATTTTTTTTAGAAAAGTTCAATCTACTACCTTTAACTAGCTAGATTAAAAAAATGTATTATAATCTGTTCATTATGAAAGGTCCCTCTCTTTAATTATTAGCTATCCCTCAGAAGCAGTTGCCATGCCTTGAGGTGGATGGACAATTCATTTCCCAGTCTGGTGCGATCCTACGATACATTGGACGGGCATTCGGTGAGTAGAACATGTAGAATGATTGAAAAAATGTAGCAAAAATGAACCCCCCATCTGGTTAGCTTTAAAATTTTAATAATGTAAAAGTTCTTTTTATGTCTCGTATTTCAAATCACAGTCCCTTTATTTTGTGTTTTATGTATTAAAATTGAAATAAATGAAATGTGTATAAACATAACATACAGTATCAGTTAATTTGCAACAAATAAGCATTTCGACAAATTAATCTTTCAATGATGCCTATGCGGAAGCGTTAAAAATTTTAAATATTTCTCAAGAAAATCTATACAAGGGATCTTACAATGTTCAAACAATGTAAATGATAATATTTACACACGAAGAAAAGTTTACTATCTCGTTTTTAATGATAAGTCTAAGTAAAATTTCCTCATTTTGTACACGTTTACAATATAAAAAATAACTACATTACCAAGCAACCAATTTTGAAAGAAAAATTACACAAGACATTGGTATAGCTGTTCAGTATAATTCAATTTTAGTTGAAACATGCCATTTGATTGGATAAAACATTTAGTTTATATCGTAATAGATAAGTTGACTACGACGTCACAATGAGTTACGTGATTTAAACATTTAAATATATGCTTAATTTGAAGCAATTTTTTGAAGGAAAAATTGTCTTCTTGTCTACACTTAAATTAAATAATAAGAACTGAAGCTTATTTTAACTTTTGTTACACGATATAACAGCTTGGACAGTTTACGCTTTTTAAGAAACGAAATAGGTTAAAATAAGCTTTAATTCTTAAATGAATCGTTGATCATTCTTTCCTGATGCCTCGTTATATATTTACCAACCTATTTACACATATTCAATTTTAAATACGTTACAATATTGTAGTCTCATATACATGTATTAATGAAACAATGTAAAATGAAAAGTTTCGTTCAAATAAAACTATCAATTCAGTTTTTTGGGGGTTGCAGTAGGTTAGGCATCAAAGCACAAAATCAAATTAATACATTGAAAACTGTCTAATCCGACACCTGAATAATCCGAGACAGTGTGAATTCCGACGTTAAATTTCTTTCCCATTTTAGTATTTTCCTTGTTTTTAACACTGTGCAATCCGACATCCTGTCTATTCCGACACAAAATAATGTCTCCCAGTGTCGGATTAGACATGTATAAAAGTCTAATATTAAGTTTTTACTTAAGGTTTATATGGAGAAAATAACGAAGAAAATACACGCATTGACGTCATTCTCGGTGCTACGGAGGATTTCCTGAAACATGTTATTGCTGTATATTACGAGAAGGACGAAACCAGAAAAGCAGAACTGAAGAAAGATCTAGAAGAAAACAAACTGCCTGAGTTCTTTGATTTATTGGAGGAAATTTTAAAGGAACACAATGGAGGGGATGGGTTCTTAGTAGGAAATAAAGTAAGTTTTCTGATAGAGTTACATGTAGCTAAAAAAAAATTTATAAGATTTTAAAGTTTGTAATTACTTATCCTTGTAAGAGTACGGCTTGAACGTCTGATACTATTTGTTTATATTCTATAAATCAAGCACAATATTCTGTTCATAAAATTAAGTTCTATATAAAAAAAATTTTGTTTTATTTTTATGATTTTCAAAATCAATTATTTTCCATTTATTTTCATGGAAAAATATATTAAATTGATTTAGTTTGATATCATTGACAAATTTTACCTGAAAAATAATTCATATTTTGAATTTTTCATCTAACATTATCTTCTTTCCTTATAGGAACCATTTTATTTACCTAAATAAATAGATATATTATAATACATATGATATAACTATTTGTTTACATAATTTTAACAGACCGTCAGAGTTTTAAGTATATATATTTCATTGAAATTTCTTTCTCCTGTAAAAAGAATATTTATCATTTTTTTAAAAAAAACATTTAGATCAAAACTTTTTTTTATTTGATTTATTTTTTTTTTTGGGGGGGGGGGGGGCAGTTATCTCTATATTATGTTGATTTCAATGATTGACATATTTATAATTAAATGGCTTTTATTCAGATTTATATAGATTTTTAATTAAAATGCCTGTATTGGACATTAAGAGGGTCGAGCAATGCTTGGATTGGCCAATAATATACAAATTGTATTGAGAAGTTGTCATGAAATTCTTGCATTGGCTTTATTGAAAAATGATTTTCTAAATGCTTAGCGGGAAAATACAAATACTATTTATTTTCGTAATAATCGTCACTGCATTGCATGTTTATTCAATTTCTTGGTGTCCAAGTACATTTGATATATCTTTAACTCCAAATTGCATGTCTTGAGTCAATTACATTTAGAGCAATTTCAATTGCATTTGTGATGAAGATAAAATTCAAATCAGAATGAGAAAAGTATTCTAAGAATTTAAATGGACATCTTGTCATTCTTTCTGTGGATTTGAAAATAAGTAAATTAGACCATAACATTTGTTTCAGACTACTTTAATAGTCATAAACAACTTCCTTTATTAAATATGTAAATTATATACACTTTGGAAGGATATGTCAAAATTCCAATTCCTCTTTATGTTGCCTAAAACAGTGATCTTAATTTAAAAATAACAATTTATACAAATGAAAAAAATACAACGGGTAGCTGAGAGTCCATTTTCCCCAGGTTGTATCTCCAGATCAATATATACCACATAACAATACCATATATATGCTCATTTCTTTTTCTCAGATATATTTGTTAAATGTGTACTAAAAGAATATATATTATCTACCATTTTGACAAAGATTTAATATTTGATTATGTGTCATTAATTTTCATATTATACAGTTGTCGATCGCCGACCTTATGATTTTCGACACAACAGATCAAGTAGCTGGTTATGTTACTACTCCGCCTTTTCCGCCCAAGCTTGGGGCTTTGATAGAGAAAGTGAAAAACAATCCCAGAATTAAGGAGTACATCTCAAAACAAGCCTCAAAATAAACAGTAGCGTTGGACACTGTGAATTGTGCCACCGACATTAATGATGCTGTTCAATGTACGTCTGAAGAGCATTGGTTGAAGCTAAGCAGTGACTATTATTGAGTATACTGAAATATTTAACTAACTTTGATATCAAAGTTCGAAACGTATTAACATTGTTTATCAAGCGCGCCATACAGCACTGACATATTCCTGTAGAATTATTTATCTTAAAAACACCACATAAAGGTAAACAATGATAAAATACATCAGAAAACATGAACTTTTGCAGCTCATCTGAGCTGAAAGCTAAAGTGAGCTTTCAGGTCACCCATTGTCCGTCTTCTTTCCGTCTGTCCGTCAGTCTGTAAATATTTCACATTTTCAACTTTTTCTCAAGAAAATCATGTCAAATTTTGATCAAACTTGTTACAAAGCATACTTAGATGAAGGGGAGTTTAAATTGCTAAAATAAAGGACCAATTCCCCTTCAAGGGTAGGTAATCAAGAAAAGACAGAAATAGGATGGAGTCATTAAAAAAATCTTTTCAAGAACCACTGGACCAGAAAAGCTGAAACTAATGTGGAAGCATCCTGGGGTAGTGAAGTTTCTAAATTGTTCAAATTATGACCCCCCACCCCCGGGTATAGCAGGGCCAAATAGAGAATCCAAGTTTTACATAGAAATATATAGGAAAAAGCTTTTAACAACTTTGATAATATCAAGAAAAAATTTAGAAATCTTCTTCTCAAGAACCACCGGCCAATAAAAGCTGAAACTTACGTGGAAGTATCCCGGGGTATTTTAGATTCTAAATTGTTTGAATCGTGACTTTTGAGGATAGGACGGGGTTACAAAGAGGGAAATCTGTTGAAGAACAGAATGGCCAAAGTTACTCAGGTGAGCTATGTGGCCCATGGGTCTCTTGTTATTTATTGTTTCTGAGGATATGCATTCTTAATGCTTTTTATCCAATGATTTTTCTACATGGTTCATTTTTTTGTTAATCAGAGTAAGTTAAAGTGCTCGGTGTTGAGAATTTATATATACTTACTTAATTGTTGATAAAACAAAAAATGTCATGTTATATATTTATTCAAATGAAGTACTTTAAAGGATAATATTTGGTTTCTTGAGTTAACTGCATGTTCATAACGATATCAGAATTCCACTTTTGAGGGGGGTGGGGGGGGTATTGCTCAGATTCCTTCAGAGTGAAATTAACACCCTTTATTCTTAGGTGAAATTCGGAGAATTCAAAAATAAACAAAACGATTTTTTAAACGATTTTAAAGTTTCATTAAAGTGGTTCAAGAGTGAAAAAATTATATGTCGCATACACTCCTAAAAAGCAAAATTAGAGATGATTAAGGAAGATGAAGGAAATTTTACATTATTTGAAAGATAAAAGAACATTCATAAAAGCTTTTCTACATACTTATCATCAGACCTGGTATCATTTATACCGCAATATAATGAGTCCAAAGTGACAGTAAATAAGTTTGTACACCAAGATTCCTTTTTGTTTTATTTTTTAAACGATTTTAAAGTTTCAAGTTAAACCGTGCTTAAGTTCAAGAAAACAAAATAATCTTAGCAAAACTTAGGCAGTCGGTAGAGACTTAAGTATATCTGAACTTTCTTGTACATATATTTAGAATTATTTAATGTAGACTTTCGATGTTAAAACATTTCTCTATTCATAATATACATTAAAGAAAATAATTATCTCTATTTGACGCTGCATGATTTAAGAATTTTATTTTTTCGTGGGGGGAGGGGGGGGGGCTGATCACTGATTCCAATATCACTCCCAACATAGCATACATGTAAATAAATGAAAATAATTTTAGGGATCACTTCCAACACAGCATTCATGTAAAAAAATTTAATTTTAGGGATACTCGTGTGTAGAAATAAATTGAATACAGTAATAAAAATGCAAAATTAGAAATAATTTTTTAAAAACAGATGATTAAGGAAGAAAGTTTAAAATAAATGTAGAACGCGAAGGAAATTTTACATTCGAGAGATCAGAGAGAGAGAGAGAGAGAGAGAGAGAGAGAGAGAGAGAGAGAGAGAGAGAGAGAATTGCTGTTAAGATAAAAGAAAATCATTTTTTTTTTTTGTATCCTTGATTAAATTGCAAATAAATCAGCTTTTTTTTGCTACATGCATGGCTTATCATCAGACCTGTATTGAACTTTTTATCATTTATACCGCAATATAATGAATCCAAAGTGACAGTAAATAAGTTTGTACACCAAGATTCCTTTTTGTTTTAAACTTATTCTTTTGTTTCCAAGTTCATAACATAATTATAATTTTAATACGACTAATCTATAAATTGATTTATCCTTTTAGCAATATATCTATATAAAATCAAAAACCATTGGTTGATCGGTTTGACTGCGCCTCGCTTAGTTCGCTTTAAATATTCCTAGTCTTAGCAAGCTTTATGTTACGAGCCCCTGGAATCTTGCTAACTCCCTCAATGATATACTTTATATGTATAATATAATAACAGAACACCGATTAAAACTCTACCGGTTTCAATTATATCGTGAGTTTTGACAAAATTCTTATAGATGGAAACATTTCAAAGTATATTGTGGCGTCATTATGTTACGCTTTTACGTTAATAATCAGACAAAAAATGAGGGGAAAATGTAAATTGTCTATCATGATAGGGAATTTAGCATTGATTAAGAAAATGAAATAAAATGTTTTTCTTGGTTTCCAAACCCACATGATTTAAAACTACGACTAATTGTAGCAGGACAGGACCCTAGAATTAGCAACCTTTTGGACATAACTTTAAAACCATATGTACTAAAGGTAAAAAGTTATATAAGAGATAATATTAATTTTTCAAATCACTTACTGACAAAGTTCCAACTGATTCAACTCTCATATCATTTGACGTGACCAATTTATATTCTACCATTCCACTAGAACTAGGACTAGAAGCCATTGGATTGATGAATTCCCAGAATAACTACATCTTGGTTTTTCAAAAAACTTTTATTCTAGATTGTTTAAAATTCATATTGGAAAATAACTTTATGAATTTCCGTGGAACAACCTTCAGACAAAAACGTGGAACAGCTATTGGAACCAAAGTTACTCGGACATATGCCACACTTACTTTGGGATATCTTGAGGAAAAATTATACAAAACCGTGGAAGAAACTTTTGGTGTTGAGTTTTTCATTCTTGAGTCATTCTCTAAAATTGGCATGTTGGTTTTGACGACTTGGAAGAATTCTTGATATTTTGGGTTGTGTGTAAGAACGTAGGGAATAAGGTTTTTTGTTTTGTTTTGTTTTTTCTTTTCTCTGAAGTAGGCTGTTTCTATCATGTAGTTTGGCGTTGTCTGTACCTTTTTCGGTCAGAGAATGACTCAAGAATGAAAGACGTATTTAGTTAATTTCAGTTAATCAAAAGTAGAGGACAGAGCCCCTCATTAAAGAAGATTTTAACACGAGTCAAATTTAACAACACAGAATTCGAAGAAACAGAGTTTGTTAGAAAAAAATGTCTTCACCCAAGATGTGGAGCTTGTCCCTTTTTACAGGAAACCCAACAGTTTATTTTTTAGAACGGAAGAAAATTCACTATTCAATCTTCTTTTTCCTGCGAGAGTTCTAATTTGTTATATGTCATTACATGTTCAGGATGCGGTGAGCATTATATTGACCAAACCGGGAACACCCTTGGGCACCGAATGACTTTCCATCGTCAACAAATTCGTCAAGACGAGTACCAGTGCACTATCGTAAGCGGACATATTAGAACACCCGTTAAAACATATTTCCTAACTTATATATAATTATATATATTCCTAACTTATATATAATGATAATAATATATTTAATAAATATATATAAGATGTGATATGAAAATATCCTAATACAATCCTAATACAATTCAAAATTCAAAATACATGTATAAATATAATGCTTTTCAATTGCCGCTAGGGTTCGATGTTACGAACGATAACTCATTGTCGGAACATGTTTAGAGCAGGTCCGAGGCATCTAACTGTATTTAAGCAAGTCAGTTTTTAGCTTTTCCCTTGAGTGTTTCTTCGCTGTTAGTAGAAATCAGTGGTTTTGAAATTTAGCAATTATAATGTTCAATTTTAAAACCATGTAGTTGTAGAGGTAAGTATAATTTTTAATTAAAATATGAAGTGAAATATACCCCGTTCTAAATGTTAACCTGATTAAATTTTATACTCGGTCGTTCTTCTTCGTGCTTAGTAACACAAAAAAGATAATTACTTGTTGCATTTACTTGTTGAAATATATGTATTTATATAGGAAGGGCAAAAATGCACACATAAAACATATTTTCTTCTTCATAATAATCGTCAATTGAAAGAGAGTTAAAATCTTGAATATAGTCCGTTCCCCATTCATTTGATCCCGTTATTTCAGGAAGAGGTAGATGATTCTCCTTCTTTGGTCAACACTTTTTGTGTACAAAACAATGTACGGAACCCTTTTATGTACATAACAATACAAACTGAAGCAGCCTATATGTCTTTCCTATAAAGGATAACTCATAAATCGGCACTAAGTTGGTCAATTTTCACACTGGTAACCTGTCCTTAAAACACATCATACAAGCTCATTATTAACTTTTTAATGATTTAATTAAAGATATGCATAGGTTAAAATCTATTTTGATAATTTCATGTACCTATAAATCTATCTAGGAAATGTATTTTTTTTTATCATATGTGCAACTTGAAAAATTAGTTAAAAGGCCTTTAAATAAGGAGCTATAACACTTTATATGTTGATATGACGATAAAATATAAGTTAAATATACGAAGTTAAAACACAACGAGTGAATAGCCCTTTACGCTTCCGTACATAATAACATCACTTTATGGAATGGAGAGTTAGAAACTATTAACATCATGATTCTTTAACACCATGACTTTTATTATGTAAAGATTGAAGACGAATTCGCTCAGTCACAAAAATTGTCCTGAATTGACTCTCAAATAGATCTTTGTTCTACATCTTCAACTGATAGAATGTGCAGATTCACGATCCATTTTTTTTTTATAAATTTACACTGCAATCGTTGATAAATGTTACATTTTCAAATTTAATAGTAAATAGAATATTTTAATCATTTTTCTTTATTTGGTTACAGAACATACTAAAGTAACTTGAAATAGAAACTTTATTTGGTAAGATATGCGTTACGTTTTCAAATTTAATCGTAAAATTAATATTTTCCCATATTTGGTAATAAAACATAACATGAAGTAGACACTTAATTTGGTAAGATATGATTCATTTAACTTTAAGAAGTAAAAAAAATCGATTATTTTTGTACTACCCTGTAGTAAAAAAAGGTGAAAATTCAGAACGAGGAAAGAAGATAAAATGCAGGACATTTAATTTTGTGCAGATAGAAATAACTAGCTATACGTTACAAACAAGCAAGATGCCTACCTACAAGCTAATGTACTTTGAGGGAAAGGGGCGTGCTGAGGCAATCAGATTGGCCCTAACAGCCGCAGGACAGGAATTCGAGGACAAAAGGTTTACAAGAGAAGAATGGTTAAAAGTCAAACCAAGTAAGTACACTTTTGTCATTAAACAACGCTTATATTTTATTTAATGCATTGTAGTACTTTCAATAAGTCAAACAAATTATCAATATTTTTACTGTATTATTTATTATTGATATGAGTAGAAACTTGGGTATTGAAGATGTAGTGACAGACTTACGAGAAACGTGTTAGATCATTTGGCTTTTTATAAAATGGTCGGCAAATAAAGGTAAATGTACAGAACAGATAAGATTACAAGGTGAAGGATATGGAGATAACGAACAGTATTCAATATCATAAAACAATACAAAATAGGAGCAGAGCAAACACGGACCTCCAAAACATCGGATGTGGGATCAGGTGCCATAGAGGAGTGAACATCCCCTGCTGACCGGTCACACCCGCCCTATGTTCCTTGTCATGATCGGAAAATCATGGGAAAAATCTGTCAATTCAGGTATAAATAATGGACTATCAATAAATACGAGGGGTGTTAGAAAAGTTCGCGGACAAGTTCTGTTGTGAGCGTGCTATTTCCACGAAACCGGTCAAACTTTCCAGATAAAATCTTAACCTATTTTCCAATAAATATACAAAAAATTGGTGCTCTCCGGTGATCATTGAAAAATATACGGGTTTTTTATTTTGATAAATCTTGCTTAACGGAGCATGCTCCATTTTGGCACCTTTACATTACAAAGACTCTTTATTAAAATTAAAGATTGCACAATTGTAGCGCAAAGAGATTTATAATATTTTACTTATCGCTAAAGTATTTATGAAACCTCACTTGGAGAAATTTTGAATTAAATTGGAGGGTATATGACTGTTTTATAGCCATTTATAAATGATCAACACGTAATAACACAAAATCGGAACGTCATTGAGCGTCATCACATGGAGCAATGCACTACGTAAAAATTATGTGTGTAGACAGTAAAATGTCTAAAAAGAGATTAAAATTTTCAAGATGAATTTCCTACACACACAAAGGACAAAAATTTTCAAATGGTTGTGACTTCATATAAATGGAAGGATTAACATTTTGAATGACTAACTCCATCGATACTTCAATACCCTCCTATCGCATGGACGTTGTGCCAATTTGGTTTTGCATAGTTTTTATACCTGATCAATTTACTGCAAAGACGTTTTTAAAGATCTCAAAAATATCCGAATAAATACAATCCGAATTAGTACAAAAGACATTATAGTAGAAAGGTTACATGTCTTGATATAGATATTCAATTTTAAAGTAGAAAAAAGATAAGAAAAATCTGAAGAAAGGAAATATTTATAGAACTGCGACAAAGCCTAACGGATTGGTTGTCACGTCGCCTTACGTCAAGGGATTGCTCCGTGAATCCTATGACTTCATAGTAAAATCGTTGTAAATTTTCAGGAGTTTAGTAAATGGACCTGATTTTTTTACATACTAATAAACAAAATGTAGGAATTTATTCAGACATAGGCCATACTTCACAGTACACAATAAATTTTCTGTAATTCAATGTGTCCGCGAACTTTTCTAACAACCCTCGTATATCATTCGGCTTATTTATTTTGAGACTTACTTTGCGTATCATATGTAAGTTATTTAATTCTCGTCAGTGTTAATTGATATGGCAGTTCCGAAATACATGTACATTTTTAAGGATGAATGCATTATCTTAAGCTGCAATTGCAATTGACCCTGGGATATCCAAAAATATAGACAGTGGTTCTTTATATATTAACATTTAATAGTTAAATAAAATTCCTCCCGTGTCAATTTGATAGCACCTGCAAACTGACGTCAGACATAAAGACAGCTCCACGAGATTAACATGCAAATTAGATCTCCTTACTCCTGACCTTTCACATGGCAAAATTACATTCAGGTTTAATTATAAAAAATTCAACTCTCCTTGCTTTTCACAGTTATCACAGAGAAAACAAATATAGGAGTCCACTTTATTTAACTTTACGCAAAACCCTTTGTGACGTCACGCAGTGAGATATCAAAAACAAATAATATACATTATACATATGTTCACATTTGCTGTGTTTTCTAGTATGTCAACTGTGAAATTGATTTGAATACCATTTTTGTGTATACTCACGCGTAGAAATATACACGGAGAAACGTGCATTAACGTGACGTCACAATGAGGCTGCAGCGACGTTAGTAAAAATGCAACAATATAGGACAGTGAGAAATTCAAATAATATTGAGTATATTTTTGGTGCTTCCAAATATGTAAAATGTAAATACAGTGTATAAGGAATGTTTTTAAGTTTAGTGTGCATTATTGGTGTGTGAATCACACAGACTTGCACGAAGGCATATTTTTCATGAAGCGCGCCAGCGCGCTTCATGAAATATGCCTAGGTGACAAGTCTGTTTGATTCACACACCAATAACTCACACAAAACTTCCTTAAATATCACATGGCTTCAAGGGTGACATACCAGAATATTTATTCCAAGGTGACAGGAAAGTCCTGGAGTGTTATGTCACCCGATGCCGAAGGCTTTCCTGTCACCGAGGGACAAATATTCTGGTATTATAGTCGCCTGAGAATCCATGTGGTATATGTTATATGACATTTTTAATATAAAAAAACCAAAAAAATTCATTTAAAACAGTTAAAATTTACACAAATAATCCAAAAATGCTTTATCGACGTTAAGAATAACGCTCCGTTGTTTACTTTTGCTAAGCAACCTACGTCATAAAATCTCGAACACGAACTAAAATGTGTAACGTAAAACACGTGAACGTGATCGAGAGGGCGACATAACTGCTTCCGTCTGGGGGACATAACTGTTTCCAGCGTGGGTTTATAGCGAAACTTATGACATTTGTGACATAATAGGAAAACTTATCTAAAAATGTTATATTGTGTTATATCCTCAGGAGAAAGGGGTACGGTGTAAACATATGTTAAATATATATTACTTAAAATATTTGAATTACCTAAGTAGATATCATAAGTTTTTATATATCAGATATTTATTCTCTTTCAACAGCTATCCCACAGAAGCAATTGCCATGTCTGCAGGTGGATGGCCGATACATTCCCCAATCTGCTGCCATATTGAGATATGTCGGGAGAGAATTTGGTAGGAATATATTTGAAACCTTCAAGTATGCAAATTTTCCATTTAATAAGCCAGGTGTTATTTTAAAAAAAAGCTGCAAACAAGTAAAATGAAAATTTGCAATGTACGGGACTTTAGTGTTTTATAAGCATGGTCAATGAAATCACAATTCGTGTCTATTAAGCAATTATATAATATATTTCAGATGGAAAATTGATTGACATTGCTTAACGAATAAAGATGTTCCTGAATAATAGAATAGGTTAAGCACTGAAAATATATTCTTTTTAGGTTTATATGGTGAAAATAATGACGAAAGCACGCGAATTGACGTTATTTTTGGGGCTACTGAGGACTTCTTAAAAAACGTCATTAATGTATATTACGAGAAGGACGAAACAAAAAAAGCAGAATTAAAGAAAGATCTTGAAGAAAACAAACTGCCACAATTTCTCGATTTACTGGAAGAAATACTAAAGGAAAATAATGGAGGGGATGGGTTCTTTGTAGGAAATAAAGTAAGTTCCTGGTAAAATATTTTTTTCTTTTGAATTTTCGACATATATGTATATTCTTTCTTGTCCCTCTCTACCAGTCTTTCGGAAGATATGGTTTCAATCTACTTTCTAATTTGCCAATTAAGAATATATTTTATCATTTTGATTACTTTTAGCAGACTCTTTTTGTCTATCAATACGTTTTCATTAGATTGTATCATTGAAGCTATTTTCTTTCTTTTAAATATCGAATAAAGCTTTCATATAAAACGAAACCCTTTCCTCTCAAAAGTTTTGATCATGTAAATTTCAATTTCTTACATACGTCCATCAATAGATTTTATTTTCATTTTCAGATGTCGATTGCCGACCTTTTGATCTTTGACACAGTAGATCAAGTCGGTAGTTTTGTTAAATCTCCACCATCTTTTCCACCCAAGCTTGGGGCTCTAATAGAGAAAGTGAAAAACAATCCGAGAATTAAGGAATACATCTCAAAACAAGCCTAAAAATAAACAGAAGAATGTTAAGTATAATCCAACATTATAGGTCCTTACAGCTAATGAAAGTGTGGATACTTACAGCTACAGAAAGTGTGTTTAGCATGTTTATTGATGGACTAGAAAAGACTTGTATAACCATCAGTTTGAATTTAGCAAGAATCATTATTTAGAAGTATATTAATTACCTTAGACGTATAAGTTTGTTATTCATTAATAGACTGTATATGTAAGTGTAATTCAGTGTGCTACTTAATAAAGATGTGGTTTACTGTCACGATATTTAAAACGTTCTCCATATTAAACTTGATTTTATTTTTTTCATATCTATACTTATTCCTAAACTACATGTATATAAAAACTCCTTTCAAACACAGATGTATAACACTTTTTAAAACCCTCTATCATTACTCTTTACTTCAATACGCTGAACCAAATTTCTAAGAGTTCACCTACAATTTTTTAAGTTTTGAAGAATTAATGCATACAATAAATAATTTATTTAATTCATGGTTAATGATGCATATTTCAATTCGATGTTGCATAAATCTCATGTAAGTATCTCGTCAGAATTTTAAGCCAAGTGTCAAAGAAATGATGTACCCTCAAAATGAAAATTCACACAAAATAATCTTTATGGAGAAAAAACCACCACTCGCTTTACTGAAAGACATCCTTTACTGTTGGATACCATGTACCTCTGAATAGGAAATTGACCCATCTGGTGCCAAACTAACTGCATAGATCTTTCCAATCCGTTTAAATTGTGTGGAGGGGGGGGGGGGCTTTGACATTATTAATAAAAATCCCAAATGTTCAATGGAATTCAGATCCGGTGATTTGACAGTGTTTCATCACACAGTCTTTTGGTCAATATCCTTGGGCGTTCAGCAAGTAAGTGCACCACTTTATGGATGATTCAGATTGCTTGATCTGATACTAGACTGCCAGGAGCACCGATTTCTTATCATTTTCATACGATTGAAATTGTTTTGTTTTCATGTTTTCAAGATTGTTTTAAGAAAATTTAACACAATTTTAACCTGGTATGACGCGAAATTCGGGCTCAGACGAAGATCAAGGTCACTTCCGGTTTGGTTAAATTTTGCCCAAAGCTTTCATATTGTGATATTTTGGCGATGTAAATGACAAACACTCTATAAAAATGTGTTTAAATGGGATTTGATACTGGTTGTTAATTTTTAAAAGTAAGATCGAGGATAATTAAAAACTAAAGTAGAAGTGAGTAAAACGTGGTGAAAGTATGGTCAAGATATCAACATTCCAACGGCTCTCCCTTCTTTCTCAATATTCATTTTGCCAAGTTTTTTCTGTTTTTTAATGAAACCAGTTTTTTTTTTCAATATGATAATGAACACAAAAAGATGCTTATTACACAAAACAAGTGCCACAAAGTACAGATGTATTGTTTTTAACCTTCGTCACGGAAAATTGGTTTTCATCTGTGGTATTTGATTTTCTTTCCAGAATTGTTTAGAAGACTCATTTGTTGAAATAATTTGAAAATATCATACCATTCTATAAAGTAGTTTTTAAATAAATACATTTATTAAAGTCAACACTTAGAAGATTTGTTAAGTGTACATGTATAACAATTAATACAGGAAAAATTCAAGATGTTGTACAACATTGTATTCAATTGTGTCAAAACTACTAGGAAAAACGTGCAACATATATCAACACTTTATTTACCATTCAAAACGGTAAATTTTTGCCGTGACATATCCCTTCTTTTTCAATAAAAATGGAACTCATAAACTTACTAACCTGGTCTTTGGTCATTTGCAAATTTATTTTTTTTATTATTAAATTCTGATTGAACACACAAGTACTCCGAAGTTGATATAAAACAATATTTGAGTTTTGATTGAAATATTTGAATCTGTAAATGATTTTTAAAGAAGAGATCCTCGATAAGCAGTTGAAATTCACAATTGCACTCTGTTATTAATAGACCTGTTTTTTCATTTATTCGAAGCAGAATTCATTCCAAAGCTACTTAAGGTAAAGAATAACGAACAGCATTCAAGTTTAAACGTCTCTACAAATAAAATCAATGGGAAGAATTGGAAACACAAGCCTCTACAAACTTTTCAAATTAAATTATGTGCTTTGAAGGAGAAAGACTCCTGTCAAACTGTCACAGCTGTCGTAACGGGTTGTCATGGTCAGGCTTTTTCATTGAGGGGACACACACATACAGTAAATAAGTTTTCTATAGTTTTCTAAATATTACCCCCACCTACACTTAAGTTTTTTTTCATTTCAATTTCTTTACAATTCTTCCTAGATTGGAGTTGTTTGTAGATAATTTGGGATTGATCATTGTTCCTTAGCTCCACCTTTGCATCAATTATTGTTGAATATATTCTTTACTGATCATCTCGTTTGTCATGTAATCTAGCTTTTAGTTGGTTATTGTTGTTGGTAAAACATCAAAATATTGAAAAGAAGTGGCAGACTCTGTGGTGTCTTTTATATTTTGAATTCACCGGGCTATATCGAGTCGACAAGTGAATGAAATAAACCATTGTTACTTGATAAAATGTCGATATATCTGCATTTCGATTGGAAGGTCAATGTAAGTGTTTTCTTCTATTCCTGTAGAAGTTAATGAATAAATTCTGCTTCATAGAAATATAATAACAGGTCGGCTTAAAAGGAGCAAAATTAATGCCCATCAAACTTCCAATAGTCTGTTAGAAGACATGATGAACACCAGCAGCTTTTGAATCCTTGTATAGAGAATCAGAGTGACCTTTAATCAAGTAATTTTGATAATGACCGATACAAGATGTGAACATATTCGAGTTCCGTTTTCATTCAAGAAACGGTCGTCAAAATGTCTAATATTTTGAATTTGGAATGGTTGCCGGCGAAGATACATAGCGGTTTCCAGTAAATGTGCAACCAAGCCTCTTTCTTTTATCCTCACTAAAATATTAATTGTAGTGAAGGAGAAACCTCAAGAGTACTGTGCAACAATATATTCAAGAATCGGTTTAAATCAGATGTGGATAGTAAAAAATTCCAAGTAATTTTTGGACAATTTGAAATAATAAGATTGTACCAAAATCAACAGCTTAAAAACTTATGACTTTTCAACTTTATATACAAGCATTCCCCACAATAAATTAAAGTTCAGCAATTTTGATATCATCGACAGCTGCTTTTTACAATAAAAATTGAACTCGTAAATTTACTTACTGTCATTGGTCATTTGCAAAATTGTTTCAAAACATTCTGATTATACACACAAGTACTCTGATGTCGACATCAAAAAGATGCTTGATTTTCTGATTGACAATATTTACGCTGTTTTGGGAAACCAGGTCTTCAAACAGTCCTTTTGAATTCTCATGGGTACCAATTGCGTTCCTTTATTAGTAGACTTTTTTTTATAATCATTTTATGAAGCAGAATTTGATATATCGCAAGATCTTATGCGTTGAATTATTTATACATTGAATTGAAAACATTTCGTACTGTGTGACTTCAGAGCTGTAGCATTATGGTTTTACATTTAGATATAATGCAAAAAACGTGCAAAAACGTGCATATCAACGATTTTTGCGCACTTTTTGTGTTGTCATTTAATAATGGTTATTTCCATTCTTGACGTTTTTATACTAATTGTTAGTCCATTATTTATACACTGACTTGACGACGGATTTTTCCGTTTTTCCCAATGATGACAAGTAGCAAACGGCGGGTGTGACCGGTCAGCAGGGGATGCTCACTTCCCCATGGCACCTGATCCCACCTCTGATGTTTTGGAGGTCCATGTTTGCTCTGTTCCTATTTTGTACTGTTTTATTGACTTTTGATTTTATATACTGTTCGTAATCTACATATATTTCAAGTTAATACCCTATATTAGAAAAGGTGCAAAATTCAGAACGATGAAACAATATAAAATGCATGACATATGAGCAGACAGTATTTACTATCTTTACATTACTAAAGAGCAAGATGCCTACCTACAAGCTAATGTACTTCGAGGTTAAGGGGCGAGCTGAGGTAATCAGATTAGCCCTAACAGCCGCAGGACAAGAATTCGAGGACAAGAGGTTTACAAGAGAAGAATGGTTAAAAGTCAAACCAAGTATGTACACTTACGTAATTATACAACGCTTATATTTAATGCATTGCATTATTTACATTAAGTCAAACAAATTATCTTTTAAAGTTTTTAACTGTATTATCTTTTATTGGTATTAGTAGAAACTTGGGTTATGAAGTTGTAGTGACAGATTTAGAGGAATTTTTATAAAATGAAAGGCAAATACATGTACAGGTAAATGAACTGAACAGATGACTGCGAGGTATATCTCCCGGCTTGTTTACTTTGAGATCTTATCTGGGTATCAGGTTTACGTTATTTTAATGTTCGTCAATGTTTATGCATATAGGTAACTTCTCCATAGTTACTTTAAACTCTAATTTTGCAGATACAAGAATCTCCTTTCTTGTAAAACTTAATCCTACACTAATATTAGGCAACACGCGTTCAGTGCCTACTGCATATAATCAATTCCTAGGAACATGTACATTTTTAATGAAGAATGCATTTTCCTAAGCTGATATTGTAAATGACCCTGGGGTATCCAAAAGTTTAGATAGTTTTTTTTATAAGAATGTTGATCCTAAAGTAATGTCACTTTGTCCATATCTTTAATATTTGGTTTCATGTTATAAAATATAATGTACTAAAAGATGCATAAAACTAAATCTAATCAAAATTGGAAATTTTATTCATAATGTTTTTTTTATTTAATTTTATAGACGTTTAAAACATTAAAATATGAGGGGTATCACGCATCAAAACGAAACGTCACGTTTTAAAATGTATATTATTAGTATGAAAAAAAGACACATAATAAAGCATCTTAAAAAAAGCAAGCGTCTAATCTCCCAATATTTTAAAAGACAAAGTTTTACGAAATTTTCTAGTCGTTACTTAAAAATTAAATGACGTCATTGCTTTTAATCATAAACGTTTTAGTTTTAATCATATATTGAAAAAAGGAAATGTCGAACTCAAAAACCGCTGAAACGAGCTGTGTTGCATTTTCGCTAGAAATTGGGGAAATCACAAGTAGAGACAATTACAATGATTAATCAGACACACAGAGGAGAGAATGTAATAAAAAGAGACATGTTTTATAGCAAGGTTCCGTGATTTTTTGCGGCTCATGGGCCATCGAATGATCAGCAGAGGACAGGAAGACCGAAAAAGGGAGGTCGGGTGGAAGCATTTAACGTTGTCTGACGTTTTCAAAAAAGAGAGACGTGTCACGGATGGAGCGATATGAGAAACTTAAAGTTTGTCTTATGGTACTGTTCAACGAACTTTGAAACAGGACTGAATTATATATAAAGTGAGTGTACAATGGGTGCCAATAAAAAAAGATCTTTTAAAAAAGTGAAATATCTGAATGTTTTTGTTATATTTCTTTTAATGAAACAAAGGGGAAGTACGAGGGGTGACCAAAAAGTTCTCAAACTATACTCACCGTCAATGAAAACGCAACACTCTAATTTTAGGATGAAAAATTATATACGGGATATAACTATGTACCAAACAAGTTAGGACATCTTTTACTTTGCCAAATCAGTTATTTAATGGTTGAATGGTTTTCATTTCATTACCGAAAGTTGATATTTTAGCCCTCTTAAAAGATAACATTTAAATAACACACACACCCCCTTCCGACCATTTAATCAAAACATGCTAGTCCGCCATGTACAACATACATGTACGCAGTCCGATTTCTACCATGCATTAGGTTTATCAATGTCTTTTTTCTGAGCGAAATAAATATTCTTGGGCATTTTTAATTGCCTGTTGTTCAGATACTCCGGTCGAATTTTCTCTAACTTGGCGTAGTGTAGTAACTCTTGGACTTCCGGTCAAGTAACTGTTATTTATGCTATTGAAACACATGAGCCTGATGAGTCGTTAAATAGTGTACATTTGCATCTGCAGCTCTTTTTTTCTTTATTTTGAGAATCTCCAGCATAAGCAATGAAAATCAGTCATTTTGAAGAAATATAGGCATCACATCCGGTAAAGAAAGAAGGATTTTTTCCCGGGATTTTAGTACAATACTTATGATAAACAGCTACAAAATCTAGAAAACCCAAAATATTGTTAAAAATTTATTAAAAATGCTAAAATTTGCTTTCTGTTAAGAGGGCTAAAAAGCAACTTCCGGTAGAGGAAAGAAATTCATTCAACCGTTAAATAACTGATTTGGCAAAGTAAAAGATGTCCAAACTTTTTTGGTACATAGTTATAACCCGTATATACTTTTCACCTTAGAATTAGAGTGTTGCGTTTTCATTGACGGTGAGTATATTATAGTATCTCTATATCTACAAAACCACAATTCAGATCAGAATAAAAATTGGTACACACATATACATACACAAGTTCTATAAATAGCATATGCTGAGTAAAGTTTTGCTCCTTGTTTGTGACGTAACAATGCGAAAATTATGTCACTATGTAGGTCACTTGTGACGAAAAATGGTTGTCTCAGTCGAACTCGTTCAACAAACGATTGTACAATTTATTGTTTATCTTAGAAATCCCTTTGCAGTAGCATATAATAATGTGTACACTGTTTATTAAGACAAATGATTTCCTATAAATTCAATCAATGATTGGAATGATCCTTTTAATGAAGGAAGGCAGATGGTTATAAATAATACTTGTCATGTTGCCCAGTGAAAACAAGTTCGAGAAGATATATATTTTAATAAAGCAATTTGTTATCAAAGACCTCCAATTTTCACTTTGAAAAATAGTTGAATATTTGAACATTAATATAATTATCAAATACCTAAAATATTAGTAATAAACTTTAGGTTTTAAACATATTAGATATAATGAGGCACCCGTTTTCTATCCACCTTGAATAAACGTCTCTCCCGAGACAGAACATTTTGAGTTTTAATGGTCGCCATGCTTATTTTTGGAAAGGATATTCTTATCCACCCATACTGTTGCCGAGATTTGTCCATTTCTGACAAATGAACTGTTTTTCTTATGAAAATTAACTCACATGGAAAGAAATAAAACACTCAGAAAAATGTTTCAATTTTTGTGACAGAACGCTACGGAGGGGGTCACCTGACCGCCATTATCACGTGATTCACGCATGGGCAAAAATGTTGATGTTCGGTGGTTGATGTGCAATAAAATTTGAGAGGATTGATTTAAAACATAATCAACATTGAAACCAAATATTGTTTCTTTTATGGAAGTCATTCAATAAGTTAGCGAACTTTTTGATCACCCCTCGTATATATGTCGGCGCATATCCATCATATGACGCTTTTTATGTGCGGCGACTACCATAGTTGCACTTTATATATAAATCGATATTTTCAAAAGTATCAGTCATTTTAATTTGATTTGTTCAGGACTGATTTGTAATTAATACATTTAGCTTCGAGCTTGTATGATATTGTTGATTTACGTCATTCAGCAGCAATTTTATCGAAGTTGTGACAATACTTTTCGATCAACCCTCGTATTAACTTTTAATAGTTGAATGAAATTGAAAATTAAGATTTTGAAGATTTAAATAATACGAGGCCTTCCCTGATAGCACCCGCACACTGACGTCAGCCAAAAGACATCCGGACGAGCTTTTACATGCATATTAGGTTTCCTTAGCTCCTGACCTTTGACAAAGTAAAAATTACATTCAGGTCTAATTATCAAAATTCAACTCTCCTTACTTTTCACTGAGCTATTACAGAGAAAATTTATATAGGAATCCACGGCAGTGGGATATCAAGAAATAATATTTAATGTGTAATATCCACAGGACAAAGGGGTACAGTGTAAACGTATGTTAAATATAAACAGTGCATTAATTCAAATATTTGAAAACCTAATCATAAGTATGTATCATAGATTTTTACATTTTAAATATTTATGCTCTTTAAACAGCTATCCCTCAGAACCAATTACCATGTCTGCAGGTGGATGGCCGAATCATTCCCCAATCTCGGGCTATACTCAGATACGTCGGGAGAGTCTTTGGTAGGTACTGTTACAGTTTGTAACATACAATCAACAGATTTAAAAGTATTCAATACCTTCAAACAATGCAAATAAAAACATGCATTTTTAATATCATATGCCAGATGTTAAAAAAACTGCAAATGGGGAAAATGAAAATTTGTTATGTTTGGGATTTTAGTGTTTTACAATCATGGCCATTAAAATTAAAATTTGTGTCTTTCAAACAATGTACAGTATATTTCAGAAAGGAAATTGATTGACATTGCTTAACTGATTAAGATGGTCGTGCAAAATTTACTTAAAGATATTCATACTTGTTCCTTCATGATTAAAAAACTCAGCTGTTTAAAATTTTGCATTTGAACTAAATTTTTGTTTAGGTTTATATGGTGAAAATATTGACGAAAGCACGCAAATTGATGTTATTATCGGGGCTAATGATGACTTCTTTAAAGTCGTCATGGGTGTATATTACGAGAAAGACGAAACAAAACAAGCAGAATTGAAGAAAGATCTTGAAGAAACCAAACTGCCACAATTTTTCAAGTTAATGGAGGGAATATTGAAGGAAAATAATGGAGGGGATGGGTTCTTTGTAGGAAATAAAGTAAGTGACCTGTTAAATATTTTTATTAAATTTTAGATATATTTCATTGCTTTCCCCTGACATGTGCTGGTGAGCTTGAGATAAAAGATACCACAGAGTTTTACACAATTATTTCATACTTGGATATTTTACTTGAAAAAGACGTTACCGGTAATCTAACTACCTAGCTATATGATAAACGTGATGACTTTCACTTTTCTATAGTCAACTTCCCTTACTTATGCAGCAATATACCTTCATCACCTGCATACGGAGTATATACGAGGGTTGTCCCGTAAAATCGTGGACAAAGCGTTTTTCTCGAAAAGTAATGGGCGCACTAAGCTGAAAATTTCAGTAAATGTTTAATTAACATATTTAAGTGCATCATAATTTTTTGACAAAATATAGGCAAAAATAAAGATTTTATTATGCTTGAATGTGCACGAGGTGTTGTCCTACGGCGCACGGTCAAAAAACCAAGATTTTATTAAAGAATACACAAGTTTGAATTCAAAATAAAAGTTTTAAATACATAAGATTTGTATTAGAATTATCCTAATTCAATTCCACAATCAATTTTGTAGTCTTTGTAAAAATCTTAAGGCATTTGCTTAATTTTTGGCAGTTTCTCGAGCATTCGAAATGGGAAAGTGGTAAACACAACACATGAAAAATGGCGACGTTTTATGACGTTACGGCGCACCGGAGAACGGTTCAGTTTTATTTTGATGTTGTAATGACACCTTTAGAGACTTGAAATGACCATAGAAGAAAAAAGATTATAAAAATATCACCATATCTTAAGTATACAAATAAAAGAGGAGTTTTCTTAGCGAAGTTTTTTTTTGATCGAGTCCCTGGGGAGTACAAAACATACGGACAAACTCCTAATGTAATAACAAAAGACGCTGTCACAGCTAGAAGACCGCCGATATAAGATTTTCTATTAGTTGAATGATGGTGAGAATACTGTCCGTAACTTAATTACTAATAAATCTTCAGAAGATCGCATGAGGGTGTCAATTGGTTCTTCTCTACTGTTTATGGAGACTATAAAGAATGTGTATCAGTGAAATTCCTAAATTTAAGTCGGACTCATCCAACTTCATTTTCAGCAAAGATAAAACGTGACGCTGTTTTAGACACTTTGACGTTATAATCCATGCGCCGTAAGGTGATACAATACATGGCACAAAATCTCATAATTTGTTTATTTATGCATATATTTATCTGAAATTTGCTGTGTATATTACTGGAATATGTACTAAATAATAGTGAAAATTTCAGACCGCAGTGATGTTTATTTTTCACTCTAGACAACTTGTCCACGATTTTACGGGACAACCCTCGTATAATCTCACAAGATTCGATACGCACGCAAGAGCATGCTCTACGTATGAATATTTTCCAAAACGAGGTAAATTATTCACAAACAGATTGATGAAACAAGAATAACAGCAGTTTCGTTTAAAGTCATCATTTCGTAAGTTCTATGGTCGATACAATAACCTTGTCAGCAAATACAATTTATCATTGAGTCAAATGCTGACTAACGTTTTTCCTACCAATTTCAGTCCATTATTTATACACTGAATTGACGACGGATATTTCTGTTATTTCCTGATAATGACAAGGAGCACATGGCGGGTGTGACCGGTCAGCAGGGGATGCTCACTCCTCCATGGCACCTGATCCCTCCTCTGAGGTTTCGGAGGTCCGTGTTTGCTCTGCTCTTATTTTGTATTGTTTTTGGACTTTGATATTGAATACTTTTCGTTATCTTCATTCATTCCCTTTCTGCCAGTACATATGTAGTTCGGAAGATATGGTTTCAACTTACTTTCTAAGATAAGAACAAGGTTCAAATTTAATACAAATTAAGCCCTATATTTTTCTAAAATGGAAGTGATATGAGAAATTAAAATTCATTCTTTCTTTATCATAGGATTTCCATGCAGTAAGAATGCAAACATTGTTTTTTTCACATGACCTCCAATATCCTAATTGTAATGTCATTAACTTGAATGTGCATTTTCTCGTATGTTTTTTTCAAAATGTTGTTGCAGAAGACTTCAATTTCAGTGGAATTTTTCTTTTGGAAAACATACTCTGCCACCATCATCCAAAAAGATTTTGAGATATGTGATTTTTCATACCAGTTTACATAATATATCCAATATTTGACGTGGGCGACGGTGGAAGGCACTATTTTGTAAAAGAAAATAAGCACAGAAATGAGTCAATCTGTTGATTTTCTTCATTAATCTTAGAAATGAACCAAATTCATTACATCAAATTCCAGAACAGTTCTCCTTCATGCCATTTTTTCATATTCATCTGCTCAATTATTGTTAAAAACAATAAATCTTTAGGGCACAATAAAGCTTAAACAATACCTTCTTCTTTGTCCTTTAAAAAATATATCATAGTTTTGATTACTTTGAGTGGACTCTTTTAGTTCATTAAAACTTTCGCTTAAAAAACTTTCTCTATCCGTATTCTTTACTAATCTGTTAAATTTCAATTTATTACATCCATCTATCAATGAATTTTATTTTCATTTTAGATGACGATTGCCGACCTTTTGATCTTTGACACAGCAGATCAAGTCGGTAGTTTTGTTAAACTTCCACCTCTTCCACCCAAGCTCGGAGCTCTGATGGAGAAAGTGAAAAACAATTCGAGAATTAAGGAGTACATCTCAAAACAAACATCAAAATAAACAGGAGAATGTGATGTGCAATCCCCCATTATTGGATACTTACAGCTACAGAAAGTGTGGTTGATGGACATGGGATACACTAGTAAAACCATTAGTTTACATTCAGCAGGAATCATTTTTAGTAGTGTATAATTACCTTAGATGTACAAGTTAGTTATTCATTAATAGACTGTTCATCTATGTGAACCTGATAAGTGTGTTAATTAATAAAGATGTGGTTTGCTGACACCGTATCTAAATTGATATCTTAGTTTTATTTTTAATTTGCATGCGCTTTGAAACAAACTAAAAATATACGCCTTTATCAAACATTAACGGAAATTCAGTGGTTTTTCAAACTCAGTTGTGAAGCTTTAGTTTTGTCAGCTCTTACGAAATATAGATGATATTTTCAACAAGCAACTGAATTTTGATTTTCGTACCTGAATTACTAAACTACATAAAAATCTTTTCAAACAAAGATGTATAAAGGTGCTTAAAAAAACTCATTACCCTCACTAAAATATTATAATTAGTACAGGAAAAACTCCAGAATATTTTTTCAGAAATCTAGTCCTCTACAATCAGTTTGATTTAACAATGGAATATAGATCTGCTGTGGACATTTTTATATTTATTTGGAGAAGAATTGGTAGCACGGGCCTCTACAAACATCAGAGATTGAATCATGTGCCACAAAGGAGTAATCATCCCATGTTAACCCATCATTACCGTCATGATAGGTGTCATGAGCAGAAAAATGAGAATTCAGCAGACAATTTCATGTGTAAATAATGCAATCACGATCATGTTTCCTAGTTAATAAGATTGAACAATTTTCATGTTATAACTACAAGATAATCTACTTAATTTTAAGGAAATTTCAATCAAAATCAATAATTATCGAAATAACCACATTTTGGGGTCACCTTTCAGGATATTATAAAATGACATCCCAAACAGAAAAGGGGAGCCCCGTAGGGGACATGTGTTGCTTATGCAATACCTTCAAAATTCTTCAGAATGGATGAGAATCAGAAGGTTAAAAAATGAGCACAAACACTCTATTTCTTCGATTACTTTAAAATTAAAGTAAAGTGCTTCAAGGAACAAAAAATGTGTTGAGTTGAAGCATGAAGCAAAAAATTAAAAAAAAAAAAACATAACTTTTCTGACAGTCCGTAAACTGTAGCTCATTTTTGTGAATTTGGCGTGCCATAGATATGCTTCATCGAACTCACAATATAAAGAAAAAATAAGTTATAAAGCTATAATTTTTGTACTACCCTGTAGTACAAAAAGGTAAAAATTCAGAACGAGTAATATCAGGGATTTGAGTTGATTGTAATTACTAATTTTATGTTAAAAAGTACATTATGCCTACCTACAAACTGATGTACTTTGAGATTAAGGCGCGTGCTGAGATAATCAGATTGACCCTAACAGCCGCAGGACAAGAATTCGAAGACAAAAGGTTTACAAGAGAAGAATGGTTAAAAGTCAAACCAAGTAAGTGCACTGTCCTATACACCTTTATGAATTTTTTTCTGTACTATTTTTTTGTAATGAGACATGTGTAGGATTGATGTATTGACACACTAACAGGAAAGTACGGAAGCCCTGGAGGGACATTGATTTACCTGTTATGACTTATTCATTATGATTTGTTTGTTGTGACTTAAGGACAGATGATACAAACAAACTTTTGTCAAAGAATTTAAAAATAACAACTCTGGTCATGTTTAAATGGTTAAAAATAATAACTTTCACCGCATAATTTTTAATTTTCTATTCAAATTTGCCCAAAAATGGAATTTCAAGTGAAAAATATATGTTTAGATTAATAAGGATGGTTTCAGAATGGCATACTTTTGAACATCACAGACGGTTTACAATTTCTTAGATTCTAGAAATTTATTATTTGCATCATTTGCAATGAAATTAGCCCCATAAAATATATACCAATCCAGGCATCAATTTTTTGTTTGTATCATCTGTCCTTAATTGTTATGATTTATTAGTTAACTAAGCGTAACACAGCTACGTAGAACGTGCAGCTTGGCTTAAAATGATAATTATCGACAAATTGAGTGAGAACTTCAATAAAATACAAGTTCTGATATAGGTTGTCCAAAAAGTTCGTGGACAAAGACGTTTTTAGTTAAAATACGAGGGTTGTCCCGTAAAATCGTGGACAAGTTGTCTAGTGTGAAAAATAAACATCACTGCGTTCTAAAATTTTCACTATTATCTAGTACATATTTTAGTAATATACACAGCAAATTTCAGATAAATATATGCATAAATAAACAAATTATGAGATTTTACGCAATGTATTGTATCACCTTACGGCGCATGAATTATAACGTCAAAGTGTCTAAAACAGCATCACGTTTTATCTTTGCTGAAAATGAAGTTGGATGAGTCCGAATTAAATTTAGGAATTTCATTGATACACATTCTTTAGTCTCCATTATCAGCCGAAGAACCAATTGGCACCCTCATGCGATCTTCTGAAGATTTATCAGTAAGTTACGGACAATATTCTCACCATCATTCAACTAATAGGAAATCTCATATCGGCGGTCTACTGTGACAGCGTCTTTTGCTATTACATTAGGAGTTTGTCCGTATGTTTTGTACTCCCCAGGGACTCGATCAAAAAAGAATTCGCTAAGAAAACTGCTATTTCATTTGTATACTTAAGATATGGTGACATTTTTATAATCTCTTTTCTTCTATATTCATTTCAAGTCTCTAAAGGTGTCATTACAACATCAAGTTATAACGGAACTGCTCTCCGGTGCGCCGTAACGTCATAAAACGTCGCCATTTTTCGTGTGTTGTGTTTACCACTTTCCCATTTCGAATGCTCAAGAAACTGCCAAAAATTAACCAAATGCCTTGAAATTTTTACAAAGACTAAAAAATTGATTTTTGAATTGAATTAAGATAATTTTAATCCAATCTTATGTATTTAAAACTTTTATTTTGAATTCAAACTTGTGTATTCTTTAATAAAACCTTAGTTTTTTGTCCGTGCGCCGTAGGACAATGCCCCGTGCACATTCAAGCATAATAAAATCTTTATTTTTGCCTATATTTTATCAAAAAAATTATCATGCACTTAAATATGATAAATAAACATTTACTGAAATTTTCAGCTTAGTGCGCCCATTACTTTTCGAGAAAAACGTTTTGTCCACGATTTTACGGGACAACCCTCGTAAATGGTTCTATATACATTTTTTTGTATATCAAAATATTTCTTATGAAAAACCAAGTCAGATAGATGTCACAAGTCAAAGCGTAGTAAAAATTATATGTAACACAAATAAAAAGGCTATTATCATTTTCTGATATCTAAAGTATCGGTTACAATATAGATATTGAAAATACTAAACAAAAACTTTAACAAATATGTGTTAAATACTCGACAGAAAACAGCGACGTTGCCCGTCCGAAGGGACCAGGGCCAATCACAAAATTATGTTTAATACGGTTGAAACGACGTCAGAGACAAAATATTTGTTCAAACAACTCCAACTTATTAGAATATATTTTGCTGAATGATTTGAGATTGGTATACACTGTATACGAATTTTCAATGGTGCGTACAAATTCGAAGACACTACAAGGATTAGAAAACACGTTATATTTAATGAAAATTAATATTTCTATTCATGACGTTGTTATAAATCTAGTGAAACATCAGAATGAATTGTTCAGCTTTGTATACTAATTGTTTACATTGTTGACGCTCGTAAATTATTGTGTATTGTTATGAATTTTAATAATTAAATGAATTATAATCTACATTTATTGTTATTATTGCTAGTACTTTGCAGTGTGTCATAATAAAGAAAATGTAGTGTGTGTCCATAAAATCCAAATGTTTGACGTTATAATGAAATTGCCTTAACGTCAAGACTAGTCCGTGCGCTAATATACACCATTTCAAAGAGTTTGATAAAGCCAATATCAAACCACACAATTATAGATGTTCTCTTTATCTCATACGACTTTTGTTTTAACAGAACTTTGAGACTTCCCCTGTAAAACTACAGGAATGATTTTTATAAAAATTGATGACGTAGACCTTGATGACTTAGCGCCATTGATGTTATCATGCCTCGAGAGAAATTAGGTCGTCTTCAAAATTTAGAAGTTTTGCCATCTGCGTCTTCAAAAACTTTATGAAACATTTGCTGGAGCTGTACATGAAGCGAACTTCTGACTAAAAGTTGTAAGCACCGATGGATAATGAAAGAAAAGGGTACAGTTTGAGCTTTATTGTGCCCTAAAAATTTAATGTTCTTAAAAAGTTGTGAAATTGGCTTTAACAATAGTTGAGAAGATGAATATGATAAATCATTAAAGAATATGGCATAAAGGAAGGCCTTTCCGGAAATATGACGTCATTAATTTGGTACATTTCTACGTTTTATGCAGAAAAGCCCCAAAATGACTTATTTCTCTGCTTATTTTCCTTTAGAAAATAGTGTCTGCCACCGTCGCCCGCTTTAATTTTTGGATATATTATGTAAAATACTATGAAAAATTACATATCTCACAATCTTTCTGGGCGACGGTGGCAGAGTATGTTTTCTGAAAGAAAATTCCACTGAAAATTGATGTCTTCTGCAACTTTTTAAGAAAATACGGGAAAACGCACAAGTTAATGACGTCACAATTAGCATTTAGGAGGTCATATGAGAAAAACTGTTTGTGTATTCTTACTGCAGGGAATTCCTATGATTCAGAAAGAACAAATTTTTATTTTTTCTATCACTTTTATATTTTAGAAAAATATAGGGCTTAATATGTATTGAAACTGTACCTTCTTCTTAAATATTTTGTACTGTACTAGTACAACAAGTGCTATAGAAAAGGCTTCTTGTAGATTCATTGTTGGTCCACGGTAAGTTATACCCACATTACTAGGTAGGTGTAAGTAGTATGACATAATATATCATTGTTGAAGATGTTAAGGGAATCTTATAACAACAACTTAACTGCTAGGCTTTACTTTCTTCGAATACGGTTTGATTAACATCCGTCTTCAAGCAGCCAGAACAGCTTCTGTACCTTGATAAAATAAGATATTTCTTTGACATACCGGTATATTAAAGGATTTTTACAAATACACGTTTCAATCAAATAAAATCATGAGGCGGGGGATCGTGTCAAAATTTGAAGTGCTATCAATAAAGCATCTACCCGTGGATAAAGCATAGGTATGACACGCCAAATTCACAAAAATGAGCTAAAACATTATGGCACGCCAAATTCACAAAAATGAGATAAACCTAGTTTCACATTTGATAAACTAGGTTTATCAACTGCAAACTATAGTTTACAAACCGTAAACTATAGTTAACGATTCGTTAAGTATAGTTTTCATCTGTAAAACTATATTTAACGGTTGTTAACTATAGTTTACGAATGATAATCTAAGTTTATCTGTCTGTAATAAGCGTTAACAATAGATTTTGTTGATAAACATAGATTCACGTTTGTAAACTATAGTTTACATTCGTAAACTATAGTTAAGAATTGTTAATCATAGTTTCACAAATCGTGAAACTATATTTATCAGATCGTTAACTATAGTTAACGGTTTGTAAACTATAGTTTACAAATTGTGAAACTGTATTTATCAGATAATATATGTTTTGCAATTGCAAATGATTGTTTTCAGTGTTAAGTATAGTTTAAGGTTGTGAAACATAGATTATCGCGTTAACTATGGTTTACGGATGTAAAATATAGATTAACGTTGTTAACTATAGTTTACAGTCCGTAAACTATAGTTTACAACCGATAAACCTAGTTTATCGACTGTGAAACTATGTTTAGCTCATTTTTGTGAATTTGGCGTGCCATAAAACATAGTTTCACCGTTGATAAACTAGGTTTATCGACTGTAAACTATAGTTTACAAACCGTGAACTATAGTTAACAATTTGTTAACTAAAGTTTCATCTGTAAACTATGTTTAACGGTGGTTAACTGTAGGTTACGAATGTAAATCAAAGTTTATATGTCTGTAATGAAGCGTTAACAATAGATTTTGTTGATATATAAACATGATAAACTATTATTTACAATCGTAAACTATACTGAAGAGTTGTTTATCATAGTTTCACAAATCGTGAAACTATATTGATCAGATTGTTAACTATAGTAAAGAGTTGTAAACCATAGTTTACGAATAGTGAAACTGTATTTATCGCGTTACAAATGTAACTATGGTTTACAGATGTAAAATATGATGTTAATTATAGCTTACCGTCCGTAAACTATAATTCATAACGGATAAACCTAGTTTATCGACTCTGAAACTCTGTTTAGCTCATTTTTGTGAATTTGGCTTGCCATACATAGGTTTATCCAACATGCTGTATCATCCCCATGTATGATATAAAAAAAATATCCATTGTTTTATATATACATAGGATAAAGAAGTACATGTTAACACGGGTTAAACATACTACTTCAAATATTTTGAATAGCTTAACTATCATATTTTTTTTTTTACATTTTAAATATTTATGCTCTTTCAACAGCTATCCCACAGAACCAATTACCATGTCTGCAGGTGGATGACCGAATTATTCCACAATCTGGTGCCATTTTGAGATACATCGGGAGGGCCTTTGGTAGGAATTTTTTTCCATCTTGTAAACACTTTCAATAGTATAAACTTATCCATTTGGTGTGAGTGGGATAGCTCTTTTATCAAACTCGCGACAGGGAACTGTTCCCCGAGGGCTTGTCCGAGGGGAATAGTTCCTGTCAAGGGTTTGATAAAAGAGCTATCCCACTCACAACCGGTGGATAAGCGTTTTACTATACTGATGTATAATATAATTTCTGAGGTTTGAAATTTTTTTTTTGGAGTAAGCTAATTCTGAAAAAAATAATCTGAAATCCTGATGACGTCACAAGGCTAATGAAGTCATTATGCCATCATCAATTTAAAGATTTATCGCTCGAAATCAAAATTTGGTGGCAACAATTGCATGAAAATTTTCCAAGGGTGGGTAGCAAAAACTATACCCCGGGGTATAGCTTTGCTATGCGTGGACTATAAAGGATAGTTATATTCACCTTCTGAACTTTATATAGGAAACATTTTAACAGGAGTATAATAATGTTCGATGTTATTGGAAACTGCATAAAATAGTTAACTTGTAATGTACTGAATTTAGTGAAATATAACCATGGTCATTAAAATCACAGTTTGTTTCTTTTAATCAATATATTCAGAAAACTGATTGACATTATTTCTTAAGATGTTTTTGAATAAATGATAATGTCATACATTAAGATATATTCAACAAATTTTATACTTGCTCCTTCATAATTTAGCAACACAGCTGTTAGCATTTTTTGCACTTGAAACTACTTTTCTGTTTAGGTTTATATGGTGAAAATAATGACGAAAGTACGCAAATTGACGTCATTCTCGGGGCTAATGATGACTTCTTAAAATACGTCATTACTGCTTGGTACGAGAAAGACGAAACAAAACAAGCAGAATTAAAGAAAGATCTTGAAGAAAACAAACTGCCACAATTTTTCAATTTAATGGAGGGAATTCTGATGGAAAATAATGGAGGGGATGCGTTCTTTGTAGGAAATAAAGTAAGTACCTGGTAAATTATGTTTGACTGCATTTTAATCATATTTTACAGCTGGCACCTCCCTATTAGTATCTCGGAAGATATAGTTTCAATTCACTATTTAATCTGCTATTTTCAAAGTATATATATTATCATTTTGATAACTTTGAGTAGACTCTTTTTGTTCATTAATAAGTAAAATTAGATGTCATCACTGACACTTGCATTCTATCTGATTAATTTATTGAATCTATATCAGCTTTCTAATTGAGTTGCTGTTTTCTTTTTTTAGATACCGAATAAAACGTTCATATAAAAAAACCTTCTCTATCTATATTTTTGATTTTATAAATTTCAATTTCGTACATGCATTTATGTGCAATGAATTTTTTTGAATGTTATTTTCATTTCAGATGTCGATTGCAGACCTTCTGCTCTTTGACACAACAGATCAAGTCGGTGATTTTGTTAAACTTCCGCCTATTCCGCCCAAGCTTGGGACTCTGATAGAGAAAGTGAAAAACAATCCGAGAATTAAGGAGTACATCTCAAAACAAGCCTCAAAATAAACAGGAGAATCTGAGCGTACCGGTAATCCCTCATTATAGGTGCTTATAACAGCTACTGAAATGTTGTTCAACATGTTTGATGGACATGGGAAAGACTAGTAAAATAATCAATTCAAATTAAGCAGGAATCATTATTGAGTGGTGTAATTATTAACTGAAACGTGTAAGTTTGTTATTCATCTATAGGCTGTATCTCATCTCTGCGTGTAATTCAGTATGCTACTTGATAAAGATGTGTTTTGCTGTCACATTATTTAAAACGATCTCCCTGTTTCATTTACATGTGTTATGAATAAAAAGAACCGAGAGAGACTACAAAACTTGTGGAATATTATTTTTATATAGCTTTATCAAATACATGTATACATGTATACATGTATATAGAAATCCAATCGTCTTTAAATCTTAATGATAACATTTCTAGTTTGTCAGCTCTAACGAAAGAAAACTGATATTCTCAACAGTCAAACTTAATTTCAACTTTTCATATCTATACATATTCCTAAAATACATAAAAATTCTTTTTACAAAGATGTATAGTATTTGCTTTAAATTTTTAAAAAATCAATCATTATTTTTCATTTAAATACATGTTTTACAATTAATCCAGGAAATATTCAAGAATAATGTTCAACATTGTATCCAATTGTAACAAACCTACTGACAAAAAACGTACAACATATCAACACCTTATTTACCATTCTAAACGGTAAAGAACTTTCTTCGGTAATAACGAATATTTGCCCCCCAAATCAAACTTTGACGGAGAAATACTTAATTATCTTCTTATACAGGGGGATATATACCGACTTCAAAGCACTGAATATTTTTATAAGCAATGACGTCATATGTTTGAAATGACGTCACAAACATGACGCAAATTTTAAATTTCCATGATTTTTACAGAAAAATGTATATATTACGTTATTTTGTATCAAATTGTCAGGCTCAATATTTTGATATAATGTGTAGAATATCAAAAAACGTACAAAACTTGTTAACACCTTATTTACCATTCTTTCAAAAAAATGATGTGAAATTTTGGACTAGTTTGTGACGTCATAAAAACAAAAATTGTCAATAAACTACTTTGAAACTATTATGTTCTGTTAATTTATATTTCTCATATGGAATTCTTTTCAAATTTTTCAAAATGTGACTTTTTGGGGGGCAAAGATATGCAATATACCGCATATAGTTCTTTTGACGTCACATATTACTGCTATTTTAATACATATGGAACTTGTAAATTTACTAACCTGGTCTTTGCTCATTTGCAATTTTTTTTTATTATGATTAAACACATAAGTACTCCAAAATTGATGTTAAACGATATTCGATTTTTGATTTAAATATTTAATCACTGAGTAATTTTTAGAGAAGAAGGCCTCCATAAGCAGTTGAGCTTATGAGTAATAAATAGACCTATTTTACATTTATATGAAGCAAACTTTATTCAAAAACTAATAAACGGAAAGAATTACGAACATAGATTAAGCTTAAACGTCTATAAAAATACTTACTGGAAGAAAAGGAATTCCGCCTCTAAAAACATCTTGAATTTGATCATGTGTCACGAAGGAGTAAGCATTCTCTGTCAACCTGTCACAACCATCAAAAAGGGTTGTTATTGTCATACGTTTGTATTGAGGGCGCACAAACATACAGGAGCTTTCTATTGCTTTCTATAGTTTCTATAAATCACCCCCTATACCCCACGTTCCTACGACCATAGAGAAATGAGAAATAATAAGTATGAAAACATCAACCCTGCCTGGACGATGAAACGTATGGAGATAACGAACAGAATTCAAGATCAAAAGTTCATAAACAAACAATACAAAATAGGAGCATGAAGAGCAAACACGGACCTCCAAAACATCAGCGAGGGGAACAGGTGAGCTTCCCCTGTCGACCAGTCACATCCGCCGTGTGCTCCTTATGATTAGGAAATAACGGGAAAATCCGTCGTCAATTCAGTGTATAAATAATGGACTAACGATCAAGATTGCAATGAGATTCGGAACCCATTGTGGCCGGTGACATTTCGTTTTGCTTCGGACTTGGATGACGCTCTATCACTAGGGTAAAGTGTAAGTTGTATTCCTTTAATATTTCCTTCATTACATGTAATCTAATTTTTTTTTAAAAAATTGGAAGGAAACTTGGTAAATAAAACAATGTCATGCCATCCAATCAAAAAAAAACATAAGACTGCAGTAAGAAACGTAAGAACGTAAGAAGAGCAAATGATATTTTCGCATACAAGAAAAGCGTTAAACTTTATTATATACCCACCAATTTCCTTCTTTTTACAGATCACCACTCTGTGCTATTCTGAAGCCATATCACAGTCTCTGAAACTGATGACGTAGTACGCAGAAACATGTCGTTATTTTTCTTGCACATTAAAATGTTTCTGGATATTATGTTTTGTTTCATGGATAAATATTATAAGATTCATCTTAAATTTATTTTAATTTATGAAGCCAGTTGTAAGTTGGTATATTATAATTTATCATCATAATAGTAACTTGATCCGAAAAGCCGTATCACGTCTCGATGACAGACCCGGATCTTCAAAACTCGACGCTTCGGGTCTCGTTTGATCTGATGATCCGCGCCTCTCAACTCGACGTGAAACGGCCTTTTGGGTCTAGTTACTGTAATAATAATATATATTTATTTACTAACACATACATATGGACATTTGAAATAATATTTTTGAAATGTTATTTTTTAAAATACATATAAAAGTTATTAAATTGAAAAATACAAACACACATTAACAGTGGCGGATATTTTCAAAGTTAGAAATCAAATATGTTTACTTGGTAGAATTTTCACCCTTCAAAATCTCTAGAATCCAGGAGCTGTAAAATCATTTTAACCCTTCAAAATCTTAAAATCCAATCAACTATAAATTTAATTTTGTAAAAAACCTGGATCATTAATGTTCTAAAATAAAACTTTAATTAACTATAAAATTAGTAAATTCAATATCAATGTTATTTAAATGACAAAGTATGTATTACAGGTGTTTCCAGTCCTCAGGTTAATAAATGTTTTAATCTCTGTCCATTAATAAATCTGACATTGGAAACATACACAGGTTGTGGTGACAAATTTCTTTTTCTACAATCTGACGCTAAGTAGAAAATTCCATGCATCTCTTCGTTTAAATTTAATATTTATACGTTTTCACAAAATTTAGAGCTACGTTTATCTCCTGAATGACAGACCTACGTGAATATTGGCTCCATTACTAGTTTTCTAAAAATACATGACTTCCACTGAACATAACAAAAAAAATGTTCAATTGTTACTTTGATTGATTATTGTTTTCAGTTTAAACAACACATTGCAGAGAAGATCCGTTATATGTAAGTGTAAATGTTTTGTTTTTGTCCCCATTGTTATAGATGACGGGAATCCATTTATTCTGATAATACCTTAAAATAGAATAAACAACAAGAATTTCCAGCCGGATTTTCGGTGAATAAATATCTTTACTTAGTTATTACACAAAAATTTCTATTGTTTAAGACTATAAATGTACTATGTTTCAATTTTTCAATTAATTTTTCAATCTATACTCTTTTCAGGTAGATTCAAATTCATTTGTGTATTTATTTGTGTATAACATGATGTGTACTCCTGTGTAAATATTTTGAATATCTTTTTTGTTTTCAGATCAACACTGCTGCGATGAACAGAATAATCCTTACTTTTGTTTTATTAAACTTTCTTGGAGAATTGCATTGTATAATTGATGATGTTAAAATCCTAGTGAAAAAAGGTAAGAAAAACCACAAGTATACAAATATTATATTTGTTTTTTACAATACACTTATTTAAATTCTAATCGCCATGTGAAGCATTTTTCGAAATTGGATCGGTGAACTAAAGTTATTCTGTCTGGAGATCATTAAACCACTTATTTTGTAAATTCTATTGTGGGTTTGAAATGCATGTAGATGTTCATATAAATCATTAATAAAACTCTTGTTAAACTGTCCTATTTCAGAGCAAAAATTCAAATTGATCCCTATCCTACAATCTAAAGCCCCCTCAAAGGAGGTCATTACAGAAAAACCGTGAGTAAATACTATTAATTTGTCTGTTACTGTTAATTTGTTGTTGTTGTTGTTTTTATATACACTCTCTATGTTATTTTTTTTCTTTTACTAAGACATACGTTTTAAATAATTTTAATTAGCAACACGTCAGTGACTATTGCATTGCTACGTTTTTCAGTTCTACAGACAGGAAGCTACCTTCAATTGATAAAATTAAACCAGACATATCTGGGATAAAGAAGATAAAGCCTCTTCTTGGATGTGTATCGCTGGATACTTGTTTTTAATAAATATATATCAATAATTTTGAACCTTTTTTATTCAAAGTTATATTAAGTTTGTAAATGATATTAGGCGGAAGTTGGAGATTTAAGAATTATTCTTATAGACGTCACAAATATTCCACTACCCCATTATTGTCAATATTCATTCGTTTTTTCTTGAGTTAACCTGCGTAAAGTTATGAATTATCCTGAATTCTTTTTTCTCCTTAAGGAATTATTTCTAACTTTATATTTTTTTAATAAGATATATTGCAAAATATACAGACTGGGCGTAACTTAAAAAGTTGACACATATAAAATTTGACCTTCGGTGACAGATCAATCATGTGTAATTAAAGCGTACAAGCTATTTGAAAAGCTTTATTCATGCAGTAGTATATAATAAGTGAACATTTTAGAATGACATTCAGATATGTTTTATTTATATTTATTTTGTAGAAGAGATTATATTAGAAATATTTCCAATATATTTTTCACATAAATATGCACTCACTAGCTGTAAATGACATGAGAAATAATGCTATTTTTGCTATCTAAAAAAAAAGCCAAAAATATTTTTTCTTGATGTTATTTCTTATGGGAAACAAAGAGCGCAGTAAATACATAATTTTTCTGTCACTAATTAGTATTGAATAGATCATCTTTGGTAAAAATATAAATCTTTATATTTTTCGGGAAAAAAAAACTGCTTGAAAATAAGCAGTTTTAATTGTTTTTTATGATGTCTATTTCTTAATTAACGGCATTTTGAAAATATACCAATAAAGGTCGCATATTTAACTGTACAAATCAAATCTATATATAAAGTAAAATTAAGATATTCATTTGAAGGGGCCAATTGAGACACTTACTATATATCACTCTTTACATATTAACTTAATATAATTTAATTGTTTC